CACCTCTCCAAAAAACACCCTTGCTTGCTCTTTGCTTTGTGATTTGTGATTTGTGAATTTTGCCAAGAACATGTGGGTCTCTTGCGGCTGAACATGTTGATGACATTTGATGACTGAATGCTGGCCTGCCTCAGCCAGCTTCTAAGCTTCGGACCTCCTCCGTCCGCCTTCTTCACGGCTTGGGGGTCGACTTTGACAAAATGCCTCACCGCCCCCAGGCGCCCCTTGTCCGCCGCATCCAGAATGTTGGTGCCTCAGTTCCAGGCCGCCAACTGAAGCTATGCCCAGTACACTCAGTACACCTTGTCGGCCCCTGCTTCTGATGGCGCAAACGAATACAAAACCCACAAAGGTCTCAACGATTCCGACAAAAGGGTTCCACAATGAGTGCAGTAAGAACCACATGGGTCACCACATCTCATGGGCAGGTCTGAGAGCTCAACACTTAGCAGCCTCCAGCTCATCCTGCCAAAGTGGAGAAAAGAATGGCAACCAAAACTGCCGAAATCCTGAAAGATGCTTTTGTGTCCACTTCGTCTTCCACTGGCCTGCTTCTCCGTCATCTCGACCTGCTCCGAGCGACCCGAAGGCATCTTTATCATCTTTCCAGTTGGCCCCCCTTTGAAAGCCCGATGAAAGACCATGGTCGTCCAAGTCTCTAAACATCTTCGAAGTTCTTTCAAGAGTTTCTTGAATTTGCAGCATCTGTGGTGACATGTTCCTGACCTTTTTGCATCAATTGTTCGATTCCACGCACGACTTGCGAGGAAAGGACTCGGGCCTCGGCCACCGCCCAGCGCCGAAGAGCCAACACTCCCAGCGCGGTGCGGAGTTCTCAGAGCCCAAAACAGCTCCGGATCAACGTCTGCAATGCGCCGCACGTGAACCTTCTTGCACCTCACTCACCGGGAATTCTCCCCAAACACACTGGCACCTCCCCCCAAAGACTTGCAGTGTGCTCCTGATTCGGCCGCTCCTCGGATCGAGCACGTGCCAACCACGGCTTCCAACACCGGCCCATGCCACATTTAGAGCGCATGCCCTATGTATGTTTTTCCGCCAGGGCATGCGAAGGCGCCCCAAGATCTCGGCCGCTCTCAGCACTTTTCGGCCCTCGGGTCTCACGGGTTTTCACCGAACCGACGGAGGGAGCTTCTTCGATCGTTTTGAGGTCTTGCAGCTTTGTTGCGTGGTTGGGTTTGATAAATATGTAGTAGTTTGGTTTATGTTGGGGATCTTATATCGTATAGTTGGAAAATGTTTGGAAATATATGGACATCCACATCCTTACTCTTCACTGGAAAGCCAACTGACCCAGCGAGGCTCCAGCGGAACGCCATGCGGCAGAACGCAGGGGGTTAAAGCAGAAGGGCGTGAGTGGGCCCAGGAACATCTGAAATTGGGCTGTAAATGAAAAAACAACGCTGCCACTCTCCAGGGATTGCTGTCGCAACAGCACCTAATGTCTGCCCAGGTGAAACGAACACCGCTAATCCCCGAGGTGCCACCGGCCAGAAGCACCAACGACACCTTTTTGGTAGGAGCAGTCCTCTTCCATCGCCCAAACATGACAAAAAATATGATCGAAATGTGAAATTTGACTTAAGCTACTACTAAAGATGTGGAGCTGCAGCTCCTGGATACCTGAAATGGCCTCCGTGGTGAGCTAGAAACATCCATGCTGGTTCTTGTGCAAGCCTCCACGAAATACATACATACCGTACATACACAACTTGTTTCGCATCGTTCATCCGTTCAGGCACTGCACCCAGACCTTTCCCTGCCCCACCACATGAAAGCCATTGGAACATCCCCAGGTCAAGGGCCAAGTGTTCCTTGCAGGCAGAACGTCTCAAGCGCCACCCACCCAAAAGAAACAGTGTTCAACAAACATCTCAACATGCCAGAAACAAACACCATCTTCGTCAAAGGAAAGCCTCCGTCTTCCCACCCAACTACACTGCCCCAGTGGCGTTCCACAACACCTTCGTTGCTCCCGCCGAGTCGCTTCCTCGTCGACTGAGAATCGCATCCGGATCCTCTGCAGCCTGGCCCCGTGGCCACGGAGGGCCCATCCTGGCCGCACGGGGGGAGGCGCGCTGCGCGGCGCGGCGAACGGGTTGGAGAGGGGCGAACTGAGACCCATCCCGGAGAAGACCGGTTGCTTCAAGTGGCCATTGGAAAAGCAGTCAGGTGGCGTGGATCAGTAACATTTCGGCTCCCTTGTCAAAAATAGATCCAGATTGCTTGTTCTAAGCTCACCCGAGTCTACCTCAAATTTGAGGACAAAATTGGCAAAGTAATCCTAGAATGAACAGTCATCAAAAACAACCTTCATGAGTGACCCGGCGCATCCACAAGAAGGCCGATGAACGTCGCCTTCTGCCAAAAATACTGCATCCCGTTTCCCTGCACAAACATGATACAGCGAGGGCTGCGAGGGCCAAGCAGGGGCGACACTGAAAGTGCTTACGCATGTTTACGCCTTACAGGAGAAGTCAAAGCACGCGGCCTCTGTAACAAAGACCGGCGACGCCACCATTCTTAGCCAGCAAGATCAAGCAAGGATAGGACTTGATTGCGTGCGCACCTAAGTGCTGATGGACCACGCATGACAGAATAGATCCGCATGAGACCGCATGCTTTCATTTCCAGTGGTCTTTGGATTGTTTCCTCCAGTGACAGTAGGTTCAACCCAAGGGTGTGTTGGAAGACCGCTGATGAAGTTCCATATTGATTCGCATGAGTCTTCGAGGCCTCAAAACTGTCAGTGAGAAACGCTTTCACCCGGAGCTCCTTCACTCGCAAAAGAATGCACAGAAGGGCTAAGCCTCTGGCACCACGAGGAGGCTTAGCTCTTCGAGTCCAGCTAGGCCGATCGTTGGGGCGGAGCTTTGGAAAAGCCATGGCCCGGTTTCGCCACATGTTGGGCCCCGCCATCAAGATCAAACGAGAACGGGCGGAGGACCACGAGAACATCAAGTCTGACCCCAACACAACACGCCATGTATGGTAGTGGTTGTCATTTGTGGTTTTGGCGCAGTTCCCAGGAGCAGCCCCAATCATGCGGTTGAGGCAAGACCTTGCCAAAAAAAGGGTGGCAAGTAAACGGCGTTGTTCCTTTCAAAGGGGGCTGCCCCTTAGAGCCTTAGATTGAGTTCATCAACCAATTGGTGGAGTTCAATTTGGAGTCCATGATGTCACCGACGTCGCGGTGCTGGCAGAGGCAGAACCCGCCGGGGTAACGATATCGTGGTTGGCAACTAGGGCATCATGGCTGCTGACTCCACAAGCCCATAAGAAGCGAGTTTGCATGGTGCTCTTCTCGGTGCTCCACAAACTAACCCCAACACCTACCAGATGGGATTCCAACCAGAAGGGGTCAGGATTTCATGAGATACTGCATCAGCAAAAAAGCGCGCCATCCGAACAATTCCGTTTCATCTTATGATCTCCCATATTTACGGCTTGATGTCAAGATTCCAGGTGGCGAAAGCTGTCTTCCATCAACAGCTATGAGCCCCCCAAAGGGCATCAGACATGAGCATACATGACCTGCGGTCAGCAACCAGGTGTCACGACGTGTTTCCCAATAGACCCGGGCCAGCTTTGACAACTCTCAGGGGTCCTATACACACTGATCTTGGATCAGATCTGGTGCCCTCCAAGTGCCCTCTGCAAGCCCCTGCCGGTGCCCCTTGCGGTGTCCCCGGCAGCCTTCCCGGCCTGAGCCCCACCAGGCAGTGGCTCAGCCGAAATGCCAAAGAGGGGAGCCTCCGGCTCTGCCGTTGGACCTCAAAGAGACCGAGGCGGAGTGCGAAGATGTGCCAAGGGTCCGCTGCAAAACCAAAGGGGCTCAGGGCTTTTTCAGTGTGTTCGCCTCTTCTCTTCAGTGAATTGCTTTTCAATGCCACCTGGAGCTGACCTTGAGGGTATCATGTGTATCTATCTGATTGCCTTGTGGGAGTCAAGAGCGACAGGTGAGCACTGTAGTTGACAAGGAATGTGAAGGTTTGCATCAAAGTTGGCATTGGGATCTTTGCAGAATTCTAGGGCGCTCAGCGTACAATTGACCGCCTTTCTGCATGTTCGAAGGTCTAAGAAGTGTTGGGCTTCTGGTTTCCCCTACAAGCCCGGGGGGTGCGTCAGGCATTGTGCAACAGTTCAACTATATAGACTTATATATATAGGTAGGCCACACTGATCTTATGCCACTTGGTCAGGACAGCCAAGAACACCACCTCGGATCCGCTCAACCAAGCCTCTTCGTCACGGCGTACGGACTGGCGTGCCTCAGGTGGAGCAAGATGTTGCATTAGAGCCAGGGCTCATTCCACTGCGTGATGCACAACATTGTGCGCACGTGGTCACATGGTGTGCCGAATGAGCCCGGCTTCTGCTGTATGCCCTGGGTCCGCTACACTAGCCCCATCTAACCCCCACAGTCGAGCCAACGGTAGATCGTTCTGCCCGATGCATTTTGGTTTCAAAGGGCAGCTACTTAGCTACTTATATAATGCTTGTGGCACACCGCCTCGGCTTCATGCACAGGACGTGGTTATCCGGTTATCCTTGATCGGCCCACCGCAGCTGTTCCCCCCCTGTTCCCCGGCTCGGGGGATCTATAACCGGACCTCCCGGGCCAGGAGCCGAGAGGTTCTCTGGGCACCCAAAGAAACGAATTGGACATGGAATTACGGCTGAGAACCCCTCTCCGGATGCGATCAACAACTGATCCAATCCAAACCCAGCTGGCTTAGTTAAAGCAAAACATCCCAGGTGATGGGAAGTGATGGGAAGTGATTGGGGAAGAATCTGGTGGGCAACTCCCAACCCTTTAGCCGCTATAGTTCGTACTGCCATCCGTGCTTTACCTTCTCCCTTCTTCTCTGTTCTTTGTTTTTCTGCTGAGGCTGCTGCTCCAACTTTGACATTCACAAACAACAACAACGCATTCTTGTCACAGTTGCCTCTTCCAACATGAGAAGCAAGAAACGACAGCAAAGGATAGGGAATGATGTTGAGTTCGTGCAAAGAATGTATCAGTATCAATTGCAAAAGTAAAACTGCATGGTCCAAGTACTCAAAGGTTTTCCGCGCAAACACAGAAACAAAGCCTCAGGTGGGCAGTGTCTGCTGCCACTAGCGGCAGTTGCTTTCGCCAGTAGCTAGGTTGATCTTGCAACAGAAAATGGAATAATAAAATCCAAAACTGGCACCACAAGGAACGCAAATGCTCCTTGTGACTGCATTTGGTAGGGGGCATGCGCTGTACTGCCCTGGAATGATGACTGCGAAGACCACCCCCACACCAATCGAAAGGTAGACTTGCCTTGTCTCGCAACCCATCGACCAAGTCGCGGAAGCACTGATCCCGGCCCAGATGTTCCCAGCCCCTGCACCCAGCGTGAAACTCACATATGCACGGAAGTATCCCACTGGGTCGTGTCCTTCAAGCAAGTCCAACAAGCTTTGGTCAGCACCTCCCACCAGACCCAAATTGATTGCTAAAGGCGAAAAGGTCACGGCGCACACGTACGCCGGGGCCGCACAAACTCCGCAGGGAATCTGTCGGGAATAGCCTTCGGCCACAAAGGTGCTGAAGTCGCCAAAGCATTCGAAGGCCCTCCGAAGAAAGTCGAGAAAGCCGCGGGTCTTCATGCCGGCTGTCAAACTTGTCAAACTCACCAAGGATTGGTTCGAGATGCTTCCATGGTCAAGAGGAGAGGCCGTTTCTTCCTCATCCATGAATTTGGCCAACTCCTCTTGGTCAACCAATCGCATGGCCCTAGCCTCGTTCGCCGCCGCAAAGGCCAACACGAGTTGGTGCACCGCCTTTCTCCCCTTCTTACCGTACTGCTTGGCCTTCTGCAAGGAGGCATCTGGATACTCGTTCCGATAGAACCTGATAATGGGAGAGCTGCCCACAACATTGCTCAACAAGGAGACGCTCTGTGAACATCCAAGAGGCAAACAAATCCACAAAACAGCCCTTGCGGCCGTCGCGTGTCTGCCAACATCCACTTAAGATGCTAATTAACAAATTGTTCAACAAAGAATGTGCTCCGTGCTGCCTCCAACGCAAAAAGCATTTACCCCCAGCCCTTGCCTGGCAGCATGCTCCCCTTCGAAGAGTTGGAGCCGGCGCTCCAGTTGAACTCGGCTGCGAATGTGCGCTCGCATGTGCTCCGCGGCACCGGTTTGCAGCAGGGCCGTGGTGATGTCATGCGAGTTCAGGAAGATGTCCGCGAAGTTGGACGCGTCGCACTTCAGCTTTCGGCACATCGGCCGCCACACCTGCCGGGCTGCTGCGGGTTGCTGGAAGGGTCTCTGATCGGGCTAATGTCAAGGTCGACCTATATGTCTCGATGAAAGGAACACATCGCCAACATCTTGCGATAGAATATGATAGAATGACAACATGAGTACCACACATAAGCACGTCCAAAACGACTTGGCTCGCTTGATCAACACGACTGCTTCTGTTGATGTTCTGTTTGGTCGTGACGGGCAGAAGGGAGAAAAAAAGAAACAAGGACCAATCGTGTCTATTAGGGCTGGGATGATTTGACTCCTGGGGCCCCCAATAGTCCCCTGCCTTGCCTCTTCCAAGTTGCGGAGCGTTGTATCAATGGACATGTTCAGACTGTGCGAATCCAAGATCTGCTGCGTGGATCGGCTGGCATGTTCAAGGGCTCGAGACATGGCAAGCGTGGTGTCAGAGGCCAAAGACCAATCTGCGGAGCGAAGCGATCGTAGAACTGTAGAAACCAAACAGGAACCAACAAAAAAGTCCCAGCAAAACCAAAAACAATGGCTCCGTGCCAATCAAGGAAAGAAACCAAACAACCTCAATAGCAAAGACAATGATGTATCATCCAAAAAAATCAACTGATTAATTCTCCAATAGTTCTGTAACTCGCCATGTGCCTCCGTAGTTTAGCGTAGCCTAGGAAGAATAGAGCTCTTTAGGCCCCAAGATGGCCCGAGGTACGAATGGCCATGTCATTAAATAGTTTACTTAACCCAACAGCTATGTAATCGCTCAGTTCACAAGGTGTGCCACGAAATGTTTCTGTCAATAAAGAAGCTTTCAACTAGGTAGCTCTGCAACCCAACAGCAATGTATGGCCCAATACCTGTGAAATTTAGAGTGCAAGCAGCAGCTTTGGGCCATCGCTAGTAGGTTGGAGGCCATCGCTACTTGGCAGCTGATTCATCCAACAGCATGAGACATGGGAGCACCACCTGCGTGGGACCTGCACGGGACTCCAAATGGAGCGCACCTTGGTTCAGTTGCGCCAGCACTGTGCCAGTCGTCTCGGGGTAGATCAGAGACTCTTCCACAGAGTGCACGCCACATTGGTATTTCGCAGGGAGGCCCATGCCTGAGTCTCTTCCCACAAGCAATGGCCTCCAACCTACAAGCAATGGCCTCCAGCCTATGAGCGATGGCCTCCGACCTACTAGCAATGGCCTCCATCCATTGGTATTTTGCAGGGAGGCCCATGCCTGGAATCGTGAAGTTACGCTCCGCGTTGTGGGTTTCCACCCCCAGGGCATCCACCAGTCTTTGCCAGGCAATGTCGAACCTCTCCTGATTGGAAACAGGTCCAAAAGGCAAGCGGGCGAAACTGACGCGCGGGCAAAACAACTCGGCAAGACATCGCTCACTTAGAGTTAGCATCAGTAGGTATCATCGACATCGACCCCCAAAAAATTAATTTTGCACTGCCCAGTCTCTATCTGTTCTGCAATGGAAGAATAGAAAGACATCGAAAAGTGCTGCGGCACATGGCTCTGAATCAGGCACGATGCCAACATCAGACATTGCTCAATATGTTCGTATGAGTTCCACGGGCAATAGATGGGTCCGTCTGGCCCCAGCACCTCGTGCAAAGCTCCGTAGAAGCCTGCGACCTTGTCGTAGAGAAGCTCCAGGTCCTCATCAACCTGAGAGCTGCGGTCGGTCCAATTCCCGGTCCAAACGGTCAGGGAGAGCTGCCACCTTCTTAAGGTATTCATTCTAATTATATACAGTAATCGTTCTAAGTTCTAAGTGTCTTTTTCCAACAGTTCTACTCAGAATATTGTGTTTCAAAGGATGCTCAGTTTCAACAGATGAGACACATCGCCAAACGTGTGCTCGATGTCCACATGGCCAGCCCCCGTTGGTTGGATCAACCCACTGAAGTTGGACAAATTGATCAACACAATGGGCAGCGCCACGGCGACTTCTCCATAGGGCCCGAAGTCCTTGAGGGCAAGGAGAAGTGGGACAACGGGTCAACAGGGGGGCCATGGGCCATGCGTTTGGTGGGACAAGAGGCGGGTTGTTTCACGTTTATTTTTTGGGCCTTGGGACAAGGCCACAGAAGCGTCGGAAAGGATTGGAAAAGGATATGATTACAGTAAATGATTCAAGAAAATGACCCAGGCCAGTCATTGTTGGGCTCACTTTTCTGAGGTGTTGGATCGCGTGCCCATTGCACTAGAAGGGGACATTCCCAGAACAACCGCAAGACATGTGACCGGAGAAGGCCGTGTCCTTGCTCGTTGTCACGGTGGCATTCTGACTGGCGACCGTTGTGTTGCTGAAGGCCAGGAGCGATGCACCTGGATCTGGGATGAGCGTGGTGACTCCAGCTCTGTCGATCAGCTCATCCACTGGACAAGTCGAATAGAGGTGGCATCTCCCATCTGGGTGCAAGACTGCAGCTGAACATGTCATCCTTTGCCCACAGCCAGGGGGGATATCACTCTCATCGCACTTCATGGAACAGCTGGCAATGTTTTGGTTCGTGAAACCATTGCAATTCCCAGCGTCACACGGATCGAAGGTATAGGGAGTGTATTTCTCAGGTTCTGGCGTATCTTTGCAGATCTTGCCTGGGTGTGAGATGAAGGTGGCTGGAGGTATGTCAACATTCATGGGCACCACAATGAAGCGTACCCAAGATCCAGCATTCTCCGGAGCTACAGTTGCCCTGAACATCTCAACACTCCCCTGACCATTGTCTTTCATCTGCACGATCCAGTTCGTGTAGCAGCACCTGAGAGCAATCTGCCCATGATATCCGGAATCTGAAACCGAAAGCTTGGCGTTGCTGGGCGGGTTGGCATTGTTCTTGTCCTGGTAAGCCTGCGGAGTGAGCTGCAGTCGGTCATGCTCCAAGAAGAGGAATTTCCTGTCCTGCAACGTTGATCCAGTTCGTGAAATCTGAGGCAAAAACAACTGTCACCTGCACAGGACCGCAATGACCAGAACATACACAAGGTGTAATGAGGCTCTTTGGGAATCATTTATCCTATATATGCTATTTCGCACATGAAATTGCAAGAATAGTCCAAAACCATTTCCCACCATCAATTAGATTCAAATGAACAAAATCAAGGAAAAAATGACCTATCATCTGAGCGATGTTTGTCACAACACACATATATATCATTCCCCCAAATGGCATGATCCTAGAATAACTATATACATACACAAGAGCAATGCACCCTGAGGTGGCACCAACGCCCACCACAACACATCATAAATCATCATAACACGCGCAAGCAGACCCTGCAGTAGACGCCTCCAATGCCACCAAAAGTGGCGCAAAGACAAAAAAAAATGACACCGCGCGCGGACAGTTTGCTTGATGGTACACATCGAAGGTTTGTTGTGATGAATACTAGCCGACAGACCATTTTTCCATGACCAAGCCTCGTGAATTCCAAGACAAACTACAGTCAAATGCACGAATAACAACGACAATAATTAAAGTTGAAAGGAACACCAAAATAATACATAAAACACCTGGAGTTTGATACAATGACAAGAATCGTTCAGTGAAGACAGTTGTCAGTTGAAGGTTAGAAGTCAGAAAAGCTGTGTGCAGGATGCATGAGTGACATTCTCCAACAGCGTCGGCCAAAGGCCCCCCGGCGCTCAACCCCAAAAAGCTTTCGGGTGCTTTTGGGCCACCAGCGTCGGCCAAAGCCCCCCTCCTGGTAGTTCCAGAAGCTGACTTTTTCACTGGCCTCCCACGTCACGTAGAACAGCGCCCCCGTGTCCGCGGCCGTCAGATCTTGGATGCTCATGGGCGCGCTTGCCTCCGATCCGATCGACGGCGAGGGCCCGAGGGCGGCAGACATCGGGGGGATCGGTGGGCGGTGATGAAAGCAACTGGAATGGTCACAACAGACCCATCGTGTGCGAGGTTGCGTACCATGACTCCTTCATGAAAGACCCGGTGAGCAACTGATTTTGGGGGGGCTATTATTTAATTAGTTATGAATTGATGATTGACCGTTCGGTGTGCCACTGCTTGTTCCATGGCCTTGACATTGAGTGAACCATCGCTTTTCACGAAGCGTCCCCATTCTTCATTGTAGAGAGCCACAGTCTGTCCAACCATCCCCCGAAGAGGGTGCCAGGCGTCCACAAGAGTGAACCTTTGGTAGTCGCCAATGCAGCAATGACAGCTGGTGGTTTGCTGATCCAAGGAGATGTAGCGCTGCCAAGCAGGACTGTAGAGCACGAACTGGTTGCTGTCCATCAGCAGAAGAAAGCGCTTCTTGCCGCGGTCATCGGCTGGGATCTCAAAATCTGGAGCCTGATTCGTGGACTTCAACTCATTCTCCACATCTTGCAAGAAGCGCGAGTGCACAGGGCTATGAAAGGCGACCTGGCCCCATCCAGCATCCACGATGGTAAACCTCTCCCAGCTCCAAGAGGTTGGTAACTCGTTCGCGTTGCTGACCCCGCTGCCATCCACCACGAACTGGTTGTCAGTCATGCGAAGAAAACGATTCCAAAAAGTGTTGTGGATGGCCACGGTCTTCCCAATCCAATTGACACTGGCAGGGTGGCAAACTTGAATGACCACGAACTTGATCCAGGTGCATTGGGGGCAATGACGAAGATCCCAATAGTTCTTACCTTACGTCTTGGCACAGCAGCCTGGTGCTGGCATACTCAACTTCAAGGGACGACCGAGCCACACATTTTAGCCGCCCACGCGAAGAACAAAGGCTGCCGGCGAAGCGAGCGCATGCATACACTTAAAGAAACATGACAATGCATGTGCATGCATTGCATACGCTACATAGCTGGGGAAACAGAGTGCTCTCTTTAGCTGTTAACGATTCTGTTACAGAAATTTACAGTGGTAGCGCTATATAAGGGGCCTTTCAGCACTGAATTCGCGCAAGCAAGGCACCCACAGTCTTCGCTTCCCCACCATCATTGATCTGCACAAAGCTGTTGTGAGCCCAATTGTGAAGACCAATTAAGCCATGCCCAGTGCTGCTGGTGCCACCATTGATCACGCGAAACCTCTCCCACGTCCAGCTGGAGGCGGGTGGTAATTCCCACCAGTTCTTGTGACCGCTGGCATCCATGAAGCCATTGTTCATCCGAATGAAGCGGTTCATGTCATAGCTGTGCAAAGCAACCTCGTCGTTGCCTGCATCGACCACCCAAAATCTCTCCTGCTTGAGACAAGCCGAGACAGGTTATTACGCCACCCACCTCCAACGGGTTCGGAGGTTGTCTTTAGGGTTCCATATGTGTTACATGAAAACATCCGAAAACCTGTTGGCCAAGGAAGGCCACTCCTGTGTCCATGAAGATGCCAAGTTGGAAGACTGGCCACTGCCCTCCATCCCTGCTGCATCTGTCATCTTCAAGTAGCGGTTGTTCGCTTGATTGTGGAGAGCCTTGGTTCTACAGAAGGATCTCCATGTTTGTTCAAACTATACTACCCCCAGATGAGTTAGGAGTTGTGTCAATTATGAGATGGGTTGTTTGTTGCACAAGTCCCAACTCACTAGTGCAGAGTATAATCATTGTTTACAGCTGCGACCATCCTTGTTGGTGCTGAGACAAATTCACACGTACCACTGTCCTTCCCAGCCGAAGGAGCAATATAGACCTTCCCAGCCAGCCGCGCCAGAGGACTTTCAACCTCGAAGACCCAAAAGCGCTCATAATCTCCCGGATTCTCGATGTACATGGCTTTCATGTTGCCATTGGGTTCCATTTGCATCCTCCCATAACGCTTGAGGCTGATGTAGCTATCCCAAAGATGAACCAGCTCCATGCGTTCCTCCACATAGTCCTCGGATTGACGACCCCTCCCTTTGACCCAGCGAAGCGAAAAAGATACGAAAAAGAACCTCACCCTATTCGTGCGAAAAGTCACTTCGGTCTAGGCACTTCATAGACGATCATCGGTACAACAAATGGGTTCAATGCCAGTGCCCCATTGCCAAAACCATGCGTGGGCTCAGAACCTGTGGCTAATGATCCGACATCGTGATTTAAGGCCAAGCATCTGGAGGCATTGGAATTGGAGCATAAGGGCTTGCCACGATATCATTGGAGGTGAGCTTCAAATAGCGTTGATGGAGGTTGTTGTAGAGCCCAATTTGACAATTGCCAGCATCCACCACTTCGAACCGTTCCCAAGTCCAGCTCGCTGGCAGGTAGGGTTTACCGTTGCCATCCAATGGTGCAACGTTGCTATCCACCACTCCTCAAGCTTTCCAACATGCCGTGCAGGGTACACAGGACGGAGCCCGCTTCAGGGAGGACACTTTAAGAGAACACTCGTATAGAAACGCCAAAACGCACAGAAAGAAACCACACATTTGAGGGCCCAAAAAACAACACACCAACAGTTGTTATTGAGAGGGCGCAGTTGCAGACCAGTTACTTTGAGGAGTCTTTAAGGTCTTTTCTTTGAATACACCGACTATGTCTTTAGAAAACAAACACGGAACAGACCTCGTGTCGCTTCGCTTCTCCTCCGTTGGTCATCCGCACAAAGCGATTGTGCATGGAATTGTGAAGGGCGATGGTCGAGCCGACCGTGACCCAATTGCTGCACATCCCAGTGGATGCTTCATCAGAGGCCTGGCGTGTCCGACTGGTTTGGGTGTCGGACAGAGTCGGTGATTCCCCTGGTTCTTTTGGGTCAGGAGGTCCTACTCCTTCCCTTTGAAGGTGGTTTCGAAGAGGTTGTAAGCGGTACAAGGAACATATGTATGGTCATAAGATGACATAGTGAGTGAACTGAGAGAGAGAGAGAGAGATGGAGAGTTATAGTGCAGTCACATTGGCTTATCATGATTTGGGCGTTCGTTAATTGCTTCGCTTCCATGCCATGCAACGCCTTCTCCGCCTCCATTGATTGCTGCACTGAGTGAACTTTTGCACCCAAGGCTCCTGCAAGCTACCAGAAGTTTCTTGCCAAATCAATCATTGCCTCTGTTGAGCCGCCCAAGCCATTTGCGGCACCAAGTGAACACGAGTGTCTATCGCGATTGCCCCCCCAAAAAGAAGTGTTATAATTATCCGCTGTGGTCTTCGCCCTTATTAAAACACTCCCGGTCCTTCCTCTTCGTAAACAAAGACATGAAACATGAGTCACGGCCGCTGAAGGCACCGAAGACGGCCGGCCCATAAACGGTCGATCGAGGCACGAGACGTCTCCGGCATCCGGCTTAGATGAAACAGAGCCGAGAACAAGAAGCAGCGCAGAAAAGGATCACGCAAAGAACGAAAAAGCTCGCAGAACAAAAGCTTGTGGCTGGAGGGAAGATGGCCCAGATCAACGATCAACTCACCGTTTGTTGGTCCACTTGCTTCCCAATGGCCAAATGCCACGAGTTGACACCTATGAGAGCATATGACCGTGGGCCCAGACATGGAGCGATTCCCCCAGACATGCGGGTGCGGGTCTACTTTTGGATATGTTTTTGGGCTTGGGGGTCATTTTTTGCGGACAGCACTCTTGGGCACACATTGTGCCAACGGCAGGCACAAATTGGTCACAAATTGGTCCTGCACCTTGGATAACAGCAACCAAAAGATGTGGACAAGAACCTTGGACGCCCATCCTGCTCCACTCCCTGCACAGCAGCCCCGCACAGCACCCTCAACAGCACTCTGAAAGCGCCGTTGGCCACCAAGTTTGCTCACAGCACAGTCGACAGCGCCAGAAGAACGGCCAAAGGATTTACAACACGGCTACCTTGTGTGCTGCCCTCACAGCACCCTTTGGATAGCATGTTGACCAGAAACTCCGCCAGCACCTACTGTATATCCTACATCCTCGAGGTAAGAACCTCTGTAGTTTCCATGCTATGTAGAGAATATCAGCGTTTAAAGATTTCGATTCCAATGACGTGCTCGGCAATCTGTCCTGTAAAGCAAAGCGTCAGGAGCATATGTTGCTTCATTATCGACTTCAAGCCACCAAAGTCGCTTTGAGAGTCCGCGAAATAAATGCACTATATAGTAGCGAGGAATCGCGTGTGAAAAGGCTTGAGCACATCCAGCGGAATACATCAACTGCTGTGTCCCCATGCAGTCTGCAAACAATTGTGTTGCAACGGGCAGGCAGTATGGAAGGCATGTCGACTAATTTTCGTGCATTCTACATTGGTACCGACCTCATATGATCATTACAGTATATGCATAATCCTCTCACACTCTGTCACATTGGAAAGGACAAGAACTGGGCAACTTCTGGATGTTGCCACCAATGTGTGATCGTTTCTGACTCCACGTGCATGAAATCCACACTGAAATAACGCTCTGACCTGCAGCCTTGTGCAACGCGCCGACCTGGCCCACAAGCCTGGCAAATGCACCCAGAGCCGTGCCCTTGACGTTGAGTGCCCAGGCCAATGCAATCGGGAAAAATCGAAAGTCTGTGATGAATGCTTGGGCTCGACGGTCACAAGGCCATCATAGCCCATCAGGCCCAACAATTTCTATACCAAATCACTGCTGCAACTTGGCTGGGCAGAATCCCAGAGGCCAGCCAACAGCTGTAGCTTGCTATGTTCAATTCATATTGCAGTATAACTACAGCCGTGCAGTTCACCGACGCCTGAGGCCTGGACTGACATTGACCGCTGGTCCTTTGCGTCAGCCGCACTTCTCACGCGAGCGCGGGCACATCCATCACCGTCTGTCCGGCGCATTTCCCGTTCGTGCTGCGAATGACATATCAACCACCGCGTTCACGCAGGGAAGCTGCATGAGGCTCATGGGCCTGAGGAGAGGTTTGCATTGCTTCAGGTGACGCTTCATATGATCATAGCGTCAGTGCATGACTGCCTACTTGTCTTGACAAATCGCTAAGTGATGAGCAACCGGACCGATCTTTGGACATCTTTTGACCAAGAATTTGGCGCATATCGCATGTCTTGCGACCAGTGATCAACTTGTCAATCGCATCATATGCATTCATAACACAAAATAAGCGCGATGAAATGCCGAATTGGCTGAAGTTTCCCTTTGTTCACCCCAGCCAACATCAAATGACTTCACCTCGTGGGCCGAATGCTTTTGAACTTTTGATGGTGCTGTTTCAAAAAGGCAGCATGAAGCGTCAAGGCCGTGCCTAATGGGATAGTCTAGTTCGGGTTCATCAACCTCTGTTGGTATTTACTCCCACCATGTGGTGTCCTGACCCCTAGGGCCCTGCATTCCAGTCGTTCGAGTTCTTCCGAGCGTCTTGTTCCGCTTTTTCCGCTGGCTCGGTCGTCCTCCGGCGGATCTCAAGTGGCACCGCGCCAAGAATGCACCGTTGATACACGCCTTTGGTGATCAACACGTCAGAATGGAGAAGATTGACGCTGTCATGGACATACACCGAATGACAAGCAAATCGAACATTGGAACACAAGAGGCAGGTTGATTATGATGTTTTACATTTTGGGATTTACTTTGGAATCTTCAAATCTGGGCTATTCCAGTTCTGCGTTTCAGTCCCCTCCCATGCCTGGCCCAAACAATCCCCTCCAATCCACCTTGCAACCAGCAACTCCCCGGCCGCACCCGTGGGTTTTATATAACCCTGGAACCGGCCCTGGAAGGCTACTAGTAGCTCCTGCCATCGCTACTAGGAGCATTCTGGCATCGCGGAGCAAACAGCTACTAGTCACAAGAAGCTATAGAAATAGAAACTCAAACAAAACTTCTGCGCTACAAAAGGGCACCAAAAGGAATGGTAGGAGCTGAGCCCAACCTTCGAAAGGCTAAGCAGCTCAAGCGAACACTGCTGAACAGCATTTGGAATATGCATGTCCGTTTGAATCTCAAGAAACCTTTCACTTCTTGTCCTGGCCTGAGGCAGTGAAGTTGGCTGTAGTGTTCAACATCCGTATGTCTTTCCAAAGTTTAGGCCCACTGGCGTTGGCAAAATGAATGCTGACGGGGGCTCTCTCCTAAAGACCACAGACTTGTTTTCCATATGCCCTGTGCATCCATCACCCTGGAAGACACCACATCTATTTGGCAACTTTGGGCGGAACCGGGCAGAATCACTGGAGTCGCACGGACCGGGATGGTCACGAGCTGGTCGCTCACTGCCCGCTGCACCTCGTTCGAAAGCGTGCCACTTGCGGGCCTCTGGCCCGCGGCACTCGAGGGAGCGCAGCGAATTCAAATGCAACGATCTGACATGTCCAAGCACATGTACACACAGTCAACATGCGGCATCAACTTGGCTCCTTGATATTGCTCTTCTCACGTGTTTGCCTCTTGGGGGAGGGTGCATACCTGCATGAGCATCCTTCAGCAAGGCTTTGGTAGGACGAATGTTGTCAAAGTCTAAAAGCTCTTGCCTACGTACATGTTTCATTCTCGACGGCCTTTGTTGCAGAGTCTTAGGGCCAGTGATCAGGCTCAATAAGCCCAGCCGCTGATTCCATCGAATGATCTGGTGCTGCGGCTAGCCCTGAATAGAACTGTCTCTGACTATCCTCTCATGATTCCGCACCTTCCCGTCTTCAAAGATTTCAACGAATAGAACATTCAATTCATTTTGGACACTCTGAGATATTTCCATTCGAAGGTTAGACCCCAGGTCGATTAGAAAGACAAGACCATCCTGTTAGGGTTTTATAATGGCTTTATATATGTATATTATATATATATATATATCCATCTATTATATGATATTATATGGACCCCCACCCATCCTTTCAGGCCATCACGGGGTCTGTGCCATCTACTAAGTTGCACCATGGTATAGCGTAGATGTCGTCGAGGTATGTCTTAGGTTCAGGATGCTCATCGGCCACATGCATGTCGTCGATATCTCAAGGTTCAAAAGCCCCCATAAATGGCCAATGCCTCAAATGCCATCAAATGCCCTCCTGCCCTCTGGCCCTGTCAAGGGCGCACCCGGCAGTTCGATGCAAAACTCGTTACAAGAGACCGCTGGGTCGTCAAGGGAATTCCCCAGTCGCTTCCTCCAGCTTCAGACGGTCCGGACCTCGGATGGTCTCTTTGGCGCTGCGGGAAGCTACGGCTGCGGGAGCTGCACTGGCCTCCTTTGCTTCAGCCTCGTGGGCGTTCACCCACTGCGCACCTGGCAGTCAAGAGAAGAGAGCCCCCCAATAACGAAGGAAAGGAGCCATCTCCAGAAAACTTCAAAACGATTCGTTTAAACCAATATTGGTCAAAAAACGATTTCTTGGTACGCCCTACCTTCACCGCAAGAGCAAACTGCTACATCAATGAATTTTTGTCGGCATTGGCATCGCTATTTGTTCGGACTCCTCTCCAGTAAACCGGCCACAGAGACCAGCCACAGAGTTTATCTATCCCCAACAGTAAACTGTTTGGGGAACAAACATCCAACTGGACCGGCACGTCAAGCTTTGTTTCCTCTCATTTCCTCATTCTCTTGCTCACCTCCAAGGCTCCCACTGTGACTGGCTCATGGCTAGTCCGGCACTGAGGCCTGGCCTCACGGGCTGAAGGGGGTTCCGCGAAGCCAACCAAAACGGGGCTGGTCCTTGTCGCCTGGATGGGGCCAATCCGGCGAGTCCTTTCGGCGGTGGTTTTGCCCAGGTTTCGCCTGACCTCATCATTTCCTAAGAAGGCCGTGCGCAGCCATGATGCAACCGATGCCCCTCCTCCACAACTCTGGACAAGTCTGCACAATCATCTGCGATTGAGAAGTGCTTCGTACCAAGGTTCATGCCAGAGACCATGGTTTTCATTGGTTTTCCATGAGGTGACGGATGCAAGCCCTTCCACTTCAACTCAAAAGCAGCAAAAGTGCCCAGGAACCCCACAAGCAGCCAGCAAGTCACCCATCCGTCCTCTGCCCCAACTCCCGGTGAAAACTTCCACCATGAGCCCCAAATCAGCCTCCCCCCGCAGTGCAAAAGCTGCGGCTGGCCTGGGGAGCTCTGGGCGAAGCTGCGGCTGGCCTGCCCTGGGGTGCAGCCGGAGCACAAGCACCCCATGAAGACAGGGGAATGGGAACAAACCCAGAAATCTTAGGAGTGACAGAGTGATAGACGTTAATCATTAGTAGCCAAGGGAAACACCTGGGAACTGAATCCTCAAGCTTTCGCATGCAACAACACAACAGCAATTGGCCTACCACTGACCCATCCACAGTTCTACTCTCCAACAAAACGTCTCATCTGAGGCTGGTCCAATCCAAGCCGCACCTCCAAGCAGGGAAAAACATGGAAAGACCACAAGTCCACCAATTCCCTCGACCTCTCCGCCCCGGCCCCCCGCATGGCCTATCCAGTCCACCGGCCGTTGCAAGAGATCCTCCACCTGCAACGGCCCGTGCTCCACTCTGCGGTCGGAGATGGGGCCACGGTGGAGGGTTAGCCGAAGTCCTCTTACTTTTCTGTTCCTTTGAAGGCTGGTGCCAACACAGAATATCAACGTAAATGAGCACTCCAGTAGCCTTGTCCCCTCCACAAGCCAAACCTGTCCACCCTGGTCTACCGAACCAGCACTGATGGATCAAAGAGGGATTCTCAGAAGCCCAAAGACGAAATCCCCCCGTTCCACCGGCTGCGCCCGGATGAGATGTGTGAGGATGGATAGCTTGCATCCAAGCTAAAGATCTTGAAGACATCTTGAAGACATATATACCGAGTCTATCCACGCTCGGAAGCCTCTGCAACCTGATCTTGCAAGGTCATAACAAACCCAGAACTCTTCTCGTCGCTCGCGAGCAGACAAAGGCCCCGGGCCTCTGGCACCATCAGGGGGCAGATCTCGGAGTCCACCTTGGAGTCCACCCCAGAGTCCACCATTGGAGGAACCGACCGGGTCTTCCGAGTCCAAATCGGGGCGTGTCTACCATGTCAGTTCTAGGGAGTGAAGATGGAATTCATCCACGGCGTTGGGTGGGGTCCGTTTGGAACTGATGTCTTTCCCTTGGATGTTCCAAGCCTTGAATTTGAGACGTGCATGTCATGAACCTCTCGCAACACACGGCCATTGAACCAAAAACAGTTCAATGGCATTCAACAAAAAAAACAGCTGAGATCTGTGAAGTTTGAGGATTCCCAGGCCCTGCTCGGTCTCGGTCTCTGCTGTGTTCCACACCCCTGACACCCGCCCCACCGCCCCCTCCGCCTCCCCCCCCCCTCCGCCTGCTCCGATGGGAGGCTCCAAAGGCCGCCGCCACGGGCGCGCAACTGAACCCGTCGGCGGCGCCGGGACGATGCGTCGGCGTCACTGGAGACGTTGAGAGGTTTTGGGAGAGTTTTCGGTTCGGTTTGGGATGCTTTTCGCAGAATTTCGTGTGATTTCGCGACCGAAAAGAGCTGGACAATGAATACACCGACCAGCCTTCTCGGCCCTCTCCTTCCACTCCAGGCAGTTCTCTTGGAGATACTCCTGAAAAGCAAAAAAAAGAAAGCGGAGTGGGGCTGAGCCTGAAACTTCGAATCATCTTCCTAGGTCTTCCCACACTGTCTCTCTGGTAGGTGGCTGCTACCACAGCCCATCATCATCAGTGCTAATAGCACTGCCTGTTGAAGGGCATTCTTCATTTTTTGAATTCTTCCATCAGTCCCTGAGGCATTACCATACCAAGTGCCCTTCAAAACAACCACTGAACAATTCCCTCACCCCACCTCCACCCAACCCCCCCAAAATACTCCAAATGAATGTTTGCTGGGGAGGGGAGCTTCCACGTGGCAGCCCCCTTCGACACCCCCATACCACAACCGCTCCTTGCCGATTTCAAAGGGCGGAATGGGCTTCGACCCCACGCAGTGACTCAGCAAGACCTGAGGCCCCACATGGCCAGTCACAGGAAAAACACGGCGGGGGAGCACTGGCTAGAGCCGCCCTAAGCCTTACTAATGGTTGCCCGGTTGCCCTTGGTGTTAAAAAGTGAAACACTGCTGGTTCGGTAAAGGCTTAAATCAAGGGTGCTTGGAATGCCCCAGCGTTGCTGATGCTTTTGTGCCATGGCAGGGCCGTTGCGGGCACGTCATGGCGCCCCGAGCTCCGAGGCCGCTCACCATTCCGCCCTCGGATGCGCGATGCGCGACGCGCGGTCGCGGGGCGCGGCAGTCGCGGCCTTCACGGGGTTGCAATTGTGCCAGTCGTAGAAGCGCCGCGTGCGCACCTGGGTGGGCAGAGGTGGCCGTGGGTAATGGGAGGGCAGGCGGAAGGCGGAAGACCAGCGGCGAACAACCCTCCCTGTGCTTTTGATTGCCGACTTCTGGGCGTCTACCAGGCTACCATCCCTCAACTGATGTGTTACTACGTCAGAGGCCAACGGATTGAGGCCTTCAACTAGGTACAATTGATGGGGAGCTGCTCAAGACATGGCAGACATTGGCAGACTCACTTAGATCCTGCATTGAAATTATAGACCCGCGGAAGACCCGGACCCTCTCCTTCGTCTGCCACAGGATAGCCCCAACACCCGTCCCCCGCACCTCATCGTAGCTGGGCCGGCTGCTGTCGCAGCAGTCCTACGAGTGCGCACTCGTAGGAGACATTCGGTCCGCCAGGCCGAAGAAACCAAAGCAAACATGAATCAGTTGCATATTCCTATATATCCTATATATTCCTCCTATGGTAGGCAATGGGAAGAGGTTTCATCATGCACCGAGCAACAGAATTCTCTTCAATTCTGAATTTGTGTGGAAGGGGTGTCAACGAACTGCACTGCTGAAGATATAAGTAAATTCGACTGCTGCACAAATCCCAAATCCCAAGTCAATGGATCAAAGCCCCCACAAATCCTTCCAACGCTGCGCTCCGCATTCATCACCGCACCAACCGCACCTTTTTGGACCTCGCTCTGCTCTGCTCTTTCCAGGGTCCGGCACTCGGGGCGAGTATGTTCCATGGCCCCCAGGGCAACTCACAACGCAGGGAGGGGGGCGGGACGTTTGCCGCCCTTAGACCTTTTCGTAGTCCAGCTTACCTGCGCAGTTGGTTTCGTGTCCGGGCTTTCGGTCTGGGCCTTTGACAGACGTAGGTCTGTCTGACAATTTGACCCTATCGCATCCATGTTCTTTCCTTCAGGAACCTGTACAACCGAGGAGTATGTAGTAGAAGCTGGTTTGGGATCTTGGATCTATTTTATTGTGCAAAGAGGTGTCAACTTTGTTTATTGAAAAATACTGAAAAATATTCAACTAAGAACAGCATTGCCTTCCAGCTTCTTGTTGTCCGCGATCTTTCCTCAGCTGTGTCAAGTCTACCACGTCTACCAAACAATGTCCGCAAGTTACTAGTTTGTGTGCATGTCATGTCTCTATTGCATAGCAATGTACATATTGAAACCCAGTCAAGCACCTCCTAATCAAATGGCCGGCTTTGCGGTTAGTCAGTGCTCCCTGCTCAAACCTTCGAACTGGACCCCTCCGTCTCCGCGCATGACCTGCTAAGAACTCACTTGCTCAGATTTGCTGAGTGCATCCACTGGGCAAACACAGTAGATATAAGTATATTAACAGATCAAGAATGGTCAAACACATCCACGAAAGAATCGCAGCTCCTTCTTCCTCCCATCACTTTTATCAGCGATCCCTGAGAGCCATCCCATGCACTTCCTTCCTTTGCCCCAAATCGATATCCGATAGCGATCCATCCCACACCGAGCGGCGCGCGGCTTTCATGAAGTCCTCCTCCACCACGTAGTCCCGCTCCGAGCGGATCGCGAACATCCCCGCCTCGGTGCCTGGGACTCGAGCCGCGAGCGGCGCGAGGCGCGAGCGTTCCTCCGGCCCTGCGGGAGTCGCGTGTTCAATCGCCTCGGCAAGTGCAAACTGGATAGGATGTTTGAGGATGATGTTGGGGTTTTTCCCCTTTTGCTCCACCCCTGCTGAAGTTTTTTCCCTTGCTCCACCCCTGCTGAAGCTCAGATGCATATGTTCCGCATGTCCGCATTGTTGAAGTTGTCCGTGAGCTTCACGATGGCCTCGTAGTCGATGTCCCCGTGCTTGGTGATTGGATTGGCCTCGCTTTATTCGACTGGTGCATCTGATCATCTGATCACCAGGGGGGAGGCGTTCTTATGAGCTGAGCTGAGCCCGAAGTATGATATAGACATATCGACTCTTGAGAACTCGGTTCCTCTTGAGACCTCCCAGGTGTTTCAAGTGAGACCTCCCAGGCGGGGCAACAAGTGGCACCCGACTCTACAGGTCTCCGACATGGTGGAGACAAATGGAGACTTCAAAAGTGGCAGGTGGTGACTTGTGAATTGTGAAGTCGGGTGCTGCTAGGTTGGGATGGATTCGCAATGAGCTCGGCTCTGGACATCCGAAGCAGCTGCCGTTTGGACGCGCTCCTTCCAACATCACTCATGGGGCCTGCTGCATCAAGCTGGATCAACTACGGCCATCACACCATAAACCACCTCGAACCATCCAATTGCCCCCTGAAATGGTCTAAAATGGTAACCACTGGCATAGGCTAGGCAACAGCCCTCTTCTTCCATCCTCGCCCGTTGCTTGTGCAGGTCGCAAAGCCCAAAAATCATCAAAAATCACCCAGCTGCCAGTCGCGTGCGCCGGTCGCGCGCACTGTCGTTGTCGAAGCCCAGCGGCGTGAATCTTCAGCACTTCGATCCGCGCTTGCCTTGGACGCGTCGTCATGCTCAGCTCGGAAGGAATGCGCGGCGTGAGGTAAATCAAACCGCCAACTCCACAATACTACTACCAATACATCCAAATACCAATTTCTCTCTGTGTGTGTAGGTGAAAACGGATTCCGTGTTGCAAAGAGCGTAACCCCCCCACTACGGACGAGTACCATCCCAATCATGCTAGCAGTCTAAATCCACATTACAATGCCATAGAGCAATGGGGCCATAGAGCCATAGAGCTGTTCTACCGGAACCTTCCAATGGAAAAGGACTTCATTTGGCGTCCAATAGACTCGAGGCCTTCCCCCCCCAACCCCTCCAGACCACCACAAGACCACCCCATCCTCCAAAACCGGAAGTCCAAATCCCAACCCCTCGCAACCCCTCCCCCTCCCCCTCCCAACCCCTGGCCACCAAGCCACTCGTTAGGGAGCGGAATCTCGATCTTTCGGTCCAAGCGCCCGGGCCGCAGCAGCGCCGGATCCAGGGTGTCCGGGCCTAACGGGGCGGACCGTTCTCGGTGGCGCTCCGCCCAGGTGTGAGACACACGTGATTGCACGTGTCTATGCAACAGAAACCGAAATGAACAGCCCAGTGATCGATGTGAGACAGAAGTGAACCATTGAATAGTGGATGAAGTTGATCTGAATAGTGAATGTAGTGGACATATTGTACAGTGGATACAGCAAATGATGGAACAGTGGAGGCAAACGTGGAAAAATAGAGAATATATAAAGACAATAAAATGACACAAGAAAAGGAACAAAGAACAAAGATCACCGAGAAGGTTGGAAAGCGGAAAAGTACAATGGTCACTGATCTATGCATCGTTTGTTCTCCCCAATCCACCTCCCAGAATCCTGCCACCTCCCCTGCAATCCTCCAGCCGACAAGGGGCGATTGGTGGCCATGATGATCTTCACCCTGCCCAAGTCGTCAAAGCCATCGAGCTGATTCAAGAGCTCCATCCTCCAAAAAAACAAAACCAACGGCTGATCACGGGTCACGTGACGCGCAGGCGGAAGAGCTTTCTCCTCCGGTCACGCGATGCCCCGCGCGCATCGCGCCGAGGCGATGACGGCACTGGAGAGATCGCAGGGTGGATCGAGGATGGCATGGCTAGTGGGGGAGGCCCTTTTGGCCGATCCAATTCCATACACGAGACCCTTTCAGGAGCAACGTGTTTGGCTGATGATGATGTCCAAGTCCAAGCAAGTCAGTCATAGATGCATGTCCATGGCCCGCGTCAGCTCTTGGAGCCCACCGACGCCAACAATTTGAAGAATTTGGAGTCCGCCCTTGCCAAGAAGACAGGCTTCATAATGCCAAACCAGCCCAAACCCATTGCAAAATCTGTTGTGCCCTTGTTTCCCAGCAATACCTCATTGTCGACTTTTTCTAGAACACTCTTGCTTTAAACTGCCGTTTCCAGGCAGTCTGGAGGTCTTCTCGGTTCGTGCGGCCGAGCTTCAAGGTTCGTTGGATTTCTCGATCGGCCGAAGTTCCCTGAGAGAATCGTTTCCCTCCGATGGCATCAATCTCATCCTGAGGCGTCGTCCGATGCCAGCGTCTGGCGTCGTCCCATGAATCCCACTTTTTCGAGAAACGGATGAGATCAGTCGGAATCTAATCTCTCTAGCTTCGTCGGAACCAAATCCCCCAAAAAAGGGAACTCAGTACTCAGTTCTGACAGTTGAGTCTTTTCTTGAATTTCCTATGGCCTGTTCCATGCCAAGTGTGTTTTGCACGTGACTTGTTTGAAGCAGGCCACACCATCACCAAGGCTATCAATCATTGTCCAGCCAAATATGCAGTTGCTACAGCTGCCTTTCTTCATTCAAACCAGCCCCGAGCAACAACACCATGCAGAACAACACGTGGCAACATGATATAGAGTTCCTTGGGAAAGGCCAAGGCTAGATATGGATCGGCTAGATATGATCACACGATTCTCAACACAATATCTGGGAAGCGACTGGGAAGGAAGCATGTTGAAATGTTTGGCCTGATCCAGCGTGGCAGGTGGCCCACCAATTGAGCGCCCAAAGCCTTCCTTGCCAGGCAGCCATGAAAATGATGCATGGCTGGTGCTCCTTCGCATATCCGAACCTCACTCTGCCAGAACTGAAGCAACACCCTCAGACTGGAGGTTCCAGCCAATCAACTAAAACTTCAAACTTAGATGAAATGGAACTGTATCCATGTGTAGCTTGGCCAAATGTTCGCCCCAAATATTCCCACTCAACCTGGATGGCTCCTAAAAAAGAGAAGCTAAGTATACCTATACAGCTTCCTTTGTATGTATTTTTTGTTGTTTCAATCAGAACCCAGTTCTTGGGGCAGGAGGCGGAAATTTCTGTAGCGCAGCACTTTTCGGATTTGGGATAGAATGGGGGAAATGATCAACAGTGACACACCTACCCAAAAGAAACACAAGAAACGCAACGGTGCCAAAACGGCGCCAAAACAGCACCGAAACGGCGCAATTTGTTTGCACGCGTTTTTGTTGCACTACTGAAGGTCCAAATTGGCAGGCAAACAAAAAAACTAAGCAGCAGGCTTTCCAGAAAACGACTATGACTACTACATCAAGCGACATAAATTAGTTGAGTTTCGCAAAACGACAACAATTTTACATACCCGGGTGTCTTATTATGTTATACCTCATGGTATAACCGTATAAATCTCTCTATCTTTGGTCTCTTCTCCCCCAAATACCCAAACTCAGTACCAAGGAGCATCTCTCGAATAATTCGAGCTGACTCACCAATGTACTTGTCCACGATCGCCGAGGCCACCACCTGGGTCGAAGGTTGAAAGAAATGCCCTGCGGAGCGCCACCATCTGTGACCAACGCCTCTCTGGTGCAGTCCA